GGGTGATTGGACTTAAGACCCTGAGGGGAAAAGGACACTGCCAAACTTACTTGGGGGGTCTTTTGCTCATGGTTTGTGTTATGAATCCTGTTTGTGGTGTTTCCCCAACATAATGCTGCATTGTTTCCCTCCTTTATTAAAAGGATTTTGTTACACTCAGACTCTGTGCTTGTGAGAGGGGAAGTACTGCCTCCTAGAGGCGCCCGGGGAGTGGTAGGTAATTGTCCCAGGTCACTGGGTGGGGGCTTGAGCCGGTTTTGCATTGCGTTATTGAAACGGAACCCCTAGATACTGAACTCGGCCCTTGTTGCTGCCAGCTCAGACGGGCAGAAGGGCTACATTTCCAATAACTTTTTTTTCCCCAAAAGAAACTCTCCCCCCACCCTCCGAATTAACAAACTGGCTGTGTGCTGTGTCTGCAGCCCAGCCGGAGGTGCTGCATTTCACTGTCCAAATGGCCTGAGATGAAGTGCCTGGAAGCAGGCTGACTTTAACCTCTGCAGTTTGCATTGAGCTGAGGTAGCTGGTTCCTGAGGACGCTGTTCCAATGCACCCTCGTGTGAAAAGTTGGGAGCTTCAAGTTAAGCAGCAAAATAAACGGAGTCTCCGTCCAGTGGTGCTGAGTCCCCGCTGGCTGCAGTGGGAGCTGGGGGTGCTCTGCACGCTTGATAATCAGCCCGTTTTAGGCACCTCACTATGGCTTTAGGAACCGACCTCAAGGCTCCTATGGCTGAACATTTGGGCCAGACGTGCTGACCGGGCTGTGTCTGGAATGAACCGTTCTGGCCTCAGAGCAGGGGCTTGCTGTGGTGATTGGCCCCACATACAGATACCTAAACCAGCCAGGCCACGGAACGCCACGTGGAGGAGTGGGACTTCTACACCAAACAGAGGCGGCAACACACTATTTCCAGGCCAGCTCCTGCCGGCTGGTGTAAATCTGGCGTTACCCCACTGACGTCTATGGTGCTTAGGCCCCCTTCACACCAGCACAACTGAGAGCAGAACAAAGTGATTTTTTTTTTATGCTGTAAGTAAAACCTCCCCAGTCCAAGCTCATGGGAAATGCAATGCCCGCCGCGGAGAGCAGGGTGCCCTGCCAGCTAGAACCAATTCACGAACAACCCCCTCCCCCGGACCCTGTCCAGCTGGGAGGAGGCCTGGCTTTTACTAGGGCCAGGCTGCCCCAGGCCAAAAGGCCATCCGTGGTTGGCAGCATCTGCCCCCTGCCGCAGCACCAGCTGTCACTGTGTGAGCCCCTCGCTCACCCGCCCAGGTGAAGGCCCCTTCTGCGGCAGAGCTCGGCCTTCGGGGGCCAGCAAAGGCTGCTCAAGCCCTTACGCAGAAGATGAGGCCAGCACAGGCTGTGGAGCGTGTGTGCAGGGGGAGGTTTGGGCTGGTGGGGCTGGCCAGGGCTCTGGGGAATGGAGAACACTCTGCTCAGCCCTGCTGCATGGGGTCACAGCCCTCCTTGGCTATTAGCTGGTTATTCTACCCAAAGCCACCAGCCGCACCCTGGGGCTGGGGCTGGAAACCCCACCATACTCCACTTGCCAAGCCAAACAAGCCCCGTTCCAGGGGCCAGTGAGGGCGAGGAACTTTGCAGGGCTGCTCCAGTGGCCCCTGCTGGGCCGGTTCTCCTGTGGCCAGAGCAGTGGCGCAGCGGCTGGGAAGGGCCTGGCTGGGCTAGGGGAACACTGGCTGGGCACCCGGCTCCAAGGGGTCTGAGGCCCTAGGGGCCCTGCGGAGGTGTTGGCTGCCCATGGACCTGCTCAGGAGGCAATTCACTGTCTGGCATTTTCTCCCAGAGGGAGCAGGGAGGAGGCAGATTCCCTGCCCTAGCAGCAGCAGCTCATCCCTGGCTGATGTCCCTCCCCAGGCCTGCTTCGCTGCTAGCCCCACAGCCTGCAATGCCAGGGCCCAGCCCGCACAGGCCATCCCTGGCATGGAAAGAGCTGTGCCTGCAGGGCGTGGGATGGGGAGCCTGGCTGGGCCTCCAGCCGCCTGGCTGGGCCCCCAGGAGCAGGGGGCTGAAGCGGTGGGCGCTTGGGCTCAGAGGAATGACTGTAATGGAACAGCCTCTTCTCGGCGAGGAGAGGGGGCCCTGGGCAGTGACAGGCAGAGCCAGAACAGTCTCTCTGGCCAGCGCAGCAGCACCACACCTATACGTCAGATGGGGAAACTGAGGCACGGGAAGGGGAAGCGATTTGCCTGAGGCTGCACAGTGAGTCAGTGGCTGAGAACCCAGGAGTCCTGACTCACAGTCGGGCACAGGAGCCTGAGAGAGGGTGGGATGTAGTGGTGGACGGGCCAGAGGAACCCAGCAGTGCAGAGCACGGGCTGTCAGCCCAGGGCTGGTTGTGGCCGGTGGCGTGAGTGTCCTGTGGCAGTTTGTCGGCAGTGGTGTAGCCAGGTCGGGCCCAGGAGTTAGAGAGACAAGGTGGGGGAGGGGATCGCTGGGATTGGCCCAGCGTGTGTTGGTGCGAGAGCAGCTTTGGCGCTTACCGGCACAGACGCTGGGCCATTCACGCTGTGCCCGCCCCACCTGGGCTCTCCATGGCAGTTTGGGTTTGGTTTGCCTGTGGGCTTGGTCCCTGTTCCTGGGGGGAAGGGGAGGCGCTGGGCTCCCATGGGAGCAGACCCCTGAGTTGATGGGGCTGGGCAGGTTTGAGCTGGAGGCCAGGCACAGGCGTATCTTCGCCTCCCCACTGGTTTGCAGCCGTTGGGTGGGGTGAGCGGGCGACGTGAGACCAATGGCCAAACCCTCTCCCTGCCGCCCCCAGCAAACGCCCAGCTCCATGCTGCCCCCGGCTACATTCATTGTGTTGCTTTGCATTAAAAAATATCCCTGGCAGAATCCCAGCCCCATCGGCACAGCCGGGCACCAAGCCCCCAGCAGCTGGGGCGGGCAATGGGTCACGCTGGAGACGCACTGAGGCCAGGCCACGTGAATGATGGAAGCCCAGGCAGCCCCTAGATCACGGGGTGGCTGACTCCATTCCAGCCGGCTCCTCGCCTGTCCCCTGCGCTCCTTTGCCCACTGTTAGCTGTGCCACCCAGACTCCGCGCAACAGGAAAGTGAGCGTGTCTGCCCGCGGGCGGCAGGTGGGTGGCGTGCTGTAGTCTGTGGGGCGGTGAGCGGGTACATTCGTTGGTGATCGTACAGTGCGGTGGGGGTGGAAGCTACATTCAGGCAGGGACGGGCGGCAGCCGGCCTGTCAAGGAGACAGAGTGCACTTGGCCAGCTGGGCACAAGGCTGTGGGGTCCACGCAGAGTCTGTGCCATCTGGGTCCCTCCAGTGCAAGGCTGCGTGGCCCCCTCCCGGCCTCGCCAGGTGCAGCCAGGGCCACGCCAGGTGCCAGGCAGCAGCGGAAGACATCACTGATTGTTCACCCTCTCGTCGCATCATTATTTGGGGCTGGTTTGTTTTTTAGGAGATTTCTCCCCTCCCCTGTGGAAGGGCAGGCAGAGAGCCGCCAGAAGGGGGTGGCCGGGCTAGGCCCCTCCCGACCTGCAACACAGAAGCGAGGGGCATGTTAGTGCTGGCACCGGCGTGCGGGAGATGTGGGTGACCCCAGCGCGGTCCAACAGCCAGTGCAGACACAGTGTCAGGGGCTGGTTAGTCCCAAACCAACGGAGTCGCACAGGGCCCGGATGCCTCAATGCTGCTCTCCTACCCAGGCCTGGGGTGCTTGGGCCTCACCTGGGAACCCCAAGACTTGTCTGAGCACTATGGGGGGGGGCATGTCTGGGGCCCACCTGCCGGAGCAATGTGCCAGCTGGGGGGAGGGGGGTGGCACTGGGGGGGCTGGGCAGGCGCTGTGCTCTCGCCCCCACACTGGCTGGGACACTCCTGGCCCCACCGCTGCAGGCCCAGGCTCTGCCACTCCGGGTACAAAGAGCCGGCTGGTGGGGGTGCTGGCTCAATGGCCTCTGCCAGCCAGCCCCGCCCCCGCAACCTGCACACTGTCTCCACTGCCCGGCCCCCAGGGCGCCGGACGGGCCCCAGGCTCTGCCTCTGGCGTGGGCCCAGAACAGGAACCTGCTGCAAACTGGCCAGGGTGGGATTTGAACTGGCCACCTCGCGTCAGAGGCTCCGTGGGCCGTGGCCAGGCCCAAGCCCAGCTGGAGCACACGCGCGTTGAGGCAGGGGCCTGGCCCTGCCCTGGGCCATCCACACGTGCCCGGGGTGCCCTGATGGAACAGCAGCCATCGGGGACACCTAGCACGGGATAGCTCAGGCCTCTAGGCTAGTGACCCTGCTTCGCCACGGGTGGGGCAGTGCCCTGCGGCAACAAGCTTCCCAGGGATGGTGAGTGACGCAGGCACAAAGCCGGGCATGGCCCCAGGGGGCGACGAGATGGACACACAGACAGTGATATGTGGCGGGAGGTTCACATCAGGGGCACGATCCCGCACCCACCCCACCCAGTCCCTGCCCTGGGGTGCCCAAGGAGCAGGCTGCTCTGCTCCCTGCAAACGCTGGGCAGGGCTGGCGTGGGCACCGCGCCGTGTGAATGGGGCGCAGCGTCAGGGGAGCCGACGGAGGGAGAGCATCAGCTGCCAGCCACGGCTTGGGGCAGGGAGCCAGCTGACCGCTGGAGCCGCTGCTAGTGTGGGGTCCAGCCGGGCCTGGCCCCTGGGCAGAGCCCCCAGCAGGATCCCTCCCTGCACAGGGTTCAGGTGCTGCTGGCAGCAAGGGGCCAGGCTGGATGGCCCAACCTCCGCTGCCTGCCCCTGCGCCCCCTGCCTCTCCGGCCCGGCCCAGCCCGAGCGCCCAGGACACACTGGCAATGGAGGGGCTCTCCTGCCATCACCCTCCCGCCGGCCCGAGAGAGCCCCCAGGCCTCCGCCCAGGGAGGGGGACACAGCCCCATGGAGGAGGAGCAGCCGATGGTCATGGCCCGTGCAGCAGGCTCCAGGCAGGCAGGTGCAGCAACCAGCAGGAGGCGACGGTAGCGTCCCAGCAGCCGGGGGCGAGCGAGGGGAGGGGAGGGGATGGTGATGGGTGACAGATGAGTGATGGGGGCTAGCCCAGCCCCGGCTGAGCCGGGTCATACCTTCCTCTCCGGATGTTCCTGGCGAGGCGAGGAGAGAGGACATAGAGAGGGGGACGGTTAGCGAGGCCTCCGGGGGCAGCCCTGCTGGGTGTCTCTGATCCTGCCCGGCTCTGCCCCGACCCCGCCAGGGCCCTGCTCTGGGTGCCAGGGCCCGTGCCAGGAGCCAGCCCCAGGGCTTTGCAGGCTTGGCATGGTGCGCTGGGCTTGGGCTAGCCAGGCAGGGCTCACTTTGGGGGGTGCTGGGGGCTGAAAAGTCTGGCCCTGGTGTTAGGGAAATCTCAGCCCCACCAGGGCGGAGGGGCTGCCCCCTGCCAGTGGGTGCCCCCCCCTTTCTGCCAAGTGTTTTGGGTGCAGCTCTGGGCAGCACCAGTGCGGGACGGGGAGCAGGGCCGCGCTGGGCCAGTGCAGGGGCCTGGCGTGGAGAGGGAAATGCGGGGCAGGTTTTCCCAGGGAGGGGGCATTGCAGGGCTCAGCTCGTGGGCCATGGCGCATTCTCCAGCCCCAGGAGCCTTTCCACTGAGCGCGCCCCCCCCCCCCCTCCGGAAAGCCGTGCTCTCGCTCAGCCCAGCGCTGGTGCCGCCCTGAGCGCCGAGCCTGGACACTGGCTGCTCCCACCCTGCGGCTCCCCCGCGCACAGACCCCCCAGCACCAGGACAGCAGCAGGGCTGGGACCATCAGCCGCGCTCAGCAGACCACACACCAGGAGTGTGGCAGCCAAATAGCAACAGCCGGGAGGGGGGCGGGGGGGGCAGTAGCCCAGCCTGCAGGGCCCCAGGGGCTGGGCCCAAGGCTGCCCAGCGCGAGAGCCACGCCATGCCAAGATCTGGTCCCTGCAGCGCCATCAGGCAGGGCTGGCCCAGGGAGCAGCTCCCTGTCACAGCCCCAGGGCGGGGGCCTCCGGGCCCTGTGCCTCTCACTGCTGCCAGGCCTGGGGCTGGTGTGTGCGTTCAGGGCCCGGGGTTCTCACCACCCCTCCACGCGGGGCAAGGCGGAGCACACCACTCCAGCCACGCGGGCACCACACCGCGGGGCTCCCCCTACACATGCAACTGCCACTGCCCGCAGGCTGGATGCCACCCTCCTTGGGCCGCGAGGGCACAGCCGAGGGGGCACCCCCACCCCAGCGCCCCCTGCCCCACACCGGGGACATTGTGTGTGTGTGCAGGGGGCAAGCTCCTCCCTGGGTTAGTTCTGCCTGTCTCCCTCCTGCCCCAGGGGGCCCAGTGTCCCTCTGCCCCCCTCCCAGCTCCACGCTGCGCCTTCTGCCCCCCCCAGTCTGCTGCCTCCTGGCTGGCAGGGCCCCGGGCAAACCCCCGGCGTGACGGGCATTGCGGCGTGAGAGCAGAGTGCCCCCAGAGCTTGCACTCAGGCTGTGGGAAGCCCTGCGGTACCTCACTCCCCTTCCTGAGCCCAGCTAGGGGGCAACTCCCAGGGGACAGGGCTGGGGATTAGCAGTGTGGGGCGCCCCCTTCATGCCCAGTCCCCTCCCGCCAGAGCACAGGAGCCGTACTGCCCCACAGCTTCCTGCCCACGGCTGGGTCAGACCGGCCAAGCCCATGGAGTGCAAGGGCTGCCCTGGCCTGGGAAATGCCTCCCTCCCGCAGCCTCTGAGCAGGGCAGGGGCTGTGGCCCGGCGCCCAGCCCCGGCCCGGGAGAAGGATGCACTCAGGAAGAGGCACGCGGCGTTCGCTTACTTAAATCCCCAGCCAGTTCCCCCCAGGACAATGGCCGCCACCAGCACGGCGCCCGCAATGGAGCCGATGATGATGTTGGTGCCGCTGGGACCTGCGACAGAGAGAGGGGAGGAGAGCTCCGGTCAGGTGCGGGGCGTGGGCACTGGCTTGGGGAGGGGCATGGGGCAGGCAGGGCACGGCCCGGACTCTGCGGTAGCTTTGCCCCCTGTGGACGCTGAGCCAGGAGCGAGGGGTGCCATGGCGAGCCTGGCACGAGATCAGCTTCTCTGCAATGCCAGGGGCCACTCTAGGAGGGACCCTGGGGAACGGGCACCACAGGGTCCCACCCCCACCTTGAGGGCTCAGCAAACGGACCCCCCAATCCCATCCAAAGCCCTGACGCCCGGCCACCCACCAGAACCCAGCTCTGCTGTTCCTCGGCCTGTCCACGCCACCCTGGCTCCCTGCAGCCAGCAGGGCAGAAGGATTCCACCAGGTGGCTTCAGTCAGCAGGGGGCGCTCTCCTTGCTGCCTGGCCCACACCCTTTGTAAGCCCAGCCATGGCCCTGCGGGCTCTGCAGCGGGGCCTTCCCGCTCCTCCGGGACCCCAGCAATAGCTCGTGGCTCTAGACTCGGGGGCAAGCCACAGCCCCAGGCTCTCCTGTGGAGGCGCCCCTCTAGCTGGGACCCCCAAGCCCGCCCGACAGACCGGGTGGGTGGAGCGGAGTGAGCGACAGGAATTTGGATCTACGGGGAGAGCTGGGTGGGCTGGGGCCAGGGAGCTCCGGAGACAGAGCAGCCCCAGCCTCGACCCACCGGCCCAGCTGTCCTGCGGCACATGGTGCCATGGCTTGCAGGGGAGGGGGACGGCTCCTGGCATGGGTTCGGGGGCTCAGGTGTGTGTGGGGACAAGGGAGCATGGGCGGGGTGGGTTGCCAGGGTGTGGGGGGTTCCTGGGCAGGGGCTGGGGGGGGGGGGTGGAGTGGGATCAGGCTGGGCAGGGAGGGGGGCAGGGATGTGTCACGGCTCTAAGGGAGGGGGACCACGGTTCTGGGCAGGGCTCCACGTCTGGGTTCACACCGCCTGGCCCACGCAGGGAGGCGGGGGCTGGCAGCTGGGGGACACGGACCCTTGTATCTCTCGGTTTCGCCGGTGGGCCTGGGCTCCGGGATGGGGTCGTAGACGCTGCAGTCCTTCCCCGTCCAGTCCGCCTGGCAGATGCACTTGCCCTCGTTGCTGCAGACCTGAGGCAAAGGAACGGGAGGCGGGTGAGCGCTGCAGGGAGTCGAGTCCATCCCCGGCCAGGCCCTGTGCTGGCCCGGGCCATGGGGCCTCCCTGGGGCTGCGATGGGGGCACTCTGGCCTTCGGCAGCTCTGCTCCTCAATGCTGGGGCTCCCCAGGGAACACCCCACAGCCTGAGAGCCCTGAGCATTAGAGCAGTGGGGCTGCAGTCTCTTCCACAGCCCAGGCTCCTGGCGCCCTGGGACGGGGAAACCTCCCACCCGGGTTCCCACCCTGCCCCATGCTAGCCATCCAATCAGTCTAATCCACTGCCATGGGGCGGCGCCAGGAGCAGGCGATTCATGGTGTCCAGGCAGCGCCCCCCTCAGGCAGCGACGTGCATGCACCTCGGAGCGCAGGAGAGGGGGAGGCCAGAGGCCAGGGCTCAGCACAGGAAGGAGACCAGCTGCTCCCTGCGGGGTGGAAATCAGGTACTGGGGGCAGTGAAGGTGGGAGACGCTGGGTGCCCCTGGGCAAGGTGCCACCTCTGTGCTCCCACGTTGTGAGGCCGCCTGCCCCGCAGAGCTTCTCCCTGTGGGCAGAGGGAGGCCTGGCACGTCCCAGCCCCCAGCAAGGACTCACCCCATGGTCAAAGCAGATCATCCCGTCCCAGCTGCTAGGGCAGGCGCTGAAATTGAAGGCTGCTGTGGGAAGGCATTTGTGGTCAAGACACAGCATGCTGGGGCCGCAGGGCGTGCCATCCTCCACGTAGCTCAGGTCCGAGCCGTCCACCAGCTGGACGTGCCCACCTCTGGGGAGGGGAAGAGCAGCTGAGGGAGGGGGCAGGTGACACTGTCCATGCCCCAGGGTGTGGCTAACATGTCCCAAGGCCCCAGCTCCTTGCCCGTGGCCCAATGGGGGAGCAGGCTGGGGACGTATCTGTGTCAATCGTGAACCCCATCCTGCACCACAGCCTCCTGGGAGGATCGGAGCCTCTGCGGTGGAGTTATTGCAGAGCTCGGCAGGGCCAGCAGCGCTGCCTGATGCCACCAGGGCGCTGCCTCCGAACAGCTCTCCGCACCGCAGCAGAAACGGCCCCACTGCCATGCGAGAAGAGCTGCCTGCCCACAGACGCTGGCCAAACCCCGCTTGGCCGGTGGGCCCAGGCCAGGGCGCTGAGCTCAGGCCAGTGCCCGGTTCCCAGCGAGCTGTGAGGGGGAAGCGTCTGTGGGTAGGAGCCTGTTATATGAGTCCAATGAGCAGAGGTCGCCAGCGGGATGTTTCCGTTTCCGGGGAGGTGGATTAACGACAGCGATGGAAGACACCCCCCCCACCCCCCCCGCCAGTGCTGTAGGAAGCCTCTGCACCCTGGCACCGAGCGGGGCGGCTGTAGCGTGCACATACCCTAGTCTGTCTCCTCGCTCTCCGCACACTCGCTCTGAAGGGCGTGATTGAGACCCCAGGGCTCCCAGAGCCAGGGCCCTCGGGGACGTATCGAAGGGACTGGGGCTCTGCACAGCTGAGGCCCTGCTCCGGGGTCTGCCCCTGGGACCGGGAGCTGGCAGTGCCCAGAGCCAGGAGGCTGAGCAGCACGGGGGGCCCAGGATTTGGGTCAGAGTACCACAGAGGAGAACTGCCGGGGAACGCTAGACTCCGGGACAGCTGAACTGACAGGCTACAACGGGATTCTCCCAAAGCCCAGCTCCGCTGCTCCCCTTCCCCCATCCCACAGTGCCCTGGGGTAGGTGCTCCCAGCATGCACTGAGGGGGTCACTTGGAATCAGGGTCATATGGGATGCGCTGAGCCAGGAGAGGGCAACGGAGCCGATCTCACCGTGGCCAGTCCTGCGTCAGGGGCTTCCTGTTGGGACACCCCCCGGCCCTGCCCTGGAGCAGCGATGAGACGCTCCCCAATCCCTCGTCTCACTAGGCCCCCGGGGCTGGGGAGCTGGCCTGGCCCAGGGGGGCCAAGGCGCTGAGTGCCCTGAGCCAAGTCGGGCGGCTGGCCCTGGCCCGGGGCAGCCCCGCCCACCTGCAGTCGACGTATCTGTTCTGGTGGTAGAAGGTCATCGTGGTGATCTCCCCGCTGAGCTCGCCCAGCCGCGGCACGCCCGTGATGTTGCTGCACAGCAGGTAGCCGCACAGGACGTCTCTGCAAGGCAGACACAAAGTGCAGAGGGGTGGGCCCAGGGTACCCACTCCCGCCCCAACCCAGCCCCAGCCCGCCCGGCCCAGCTCAGCCCAGTTGTGGGAGGGAGAGCGGGTGAGGACAAGGAGCACCAGCAATACAACTGGTTTGACAGCTGCCAATCACCGCGTGGCCACGCCCCGCTGCCCTCCCAGGCCTGGTGGCAGGAGAGGGGGTGGCATTCCCTGGGGGGGGTGGTAAGACCCTCCCCCCGGCCCAGAGCAGGTGCCGAGCAGATGGTGGCAGAGCGTGGAGGGGGGGTGGGAGGAGGTGGAGGAAGGCAGCGCTGGGGCTGTGTGCACTGGGGCTGCGGGCAACAGCTGGCATGGACAGAGGATGCTGCGATGCCCACGCCCCTCCCGGCAGACTGGGCCCCAGCACTTACTGTTTGCTGCACTGCACCCAGGCTGGGCCCTCGCGCCCACAGTTCCCTCTCTCGGTCCCTTCCACGTTCAGCTTCTCGTAGCAGAACCTGTCGGCAGCCGCTGGGGTGGGAGGGGAGCAAGGGGGGGGTTACCTGCAGACATGGTCCTGCCCTCCCCCTGTGCCCCAGGCAGGGCGGTGTGGAAGCAGAGGCGTGTGCTCTGGCACACAGGCCGGGCTCAGCCCACCAATGCCAAGCGCCTGCCTGGCAGAGCCCAGCGGGGAGCACGTGGGCCAGGCGTGTCCGTGGGGGATCACGTGGGGGGACCCGGCCGTCACGCTCCTGCTTTACACACACGTCCCTTAGCGGTGGGGCAGGGAGAGTTAGCTGAGTCAGTGCCGGAGCCACGAACAGAACCCAGGAGTCCCAGACCCCAGAACTGCCCGAGGTGCCTTCCTTCAGCCCTGGGCTGTAGCCCGGTTACTGCCCACAGATGTGCAGCATCACAGCTGGTCCCACAATGGCTGCATTCACAGAGCCCCGTGGCTGAGAATGAACAAGCGGACAGCCCTCAAGGGCCATGTGCGGGGCTCAGCCCCAGTGTTACAGGTGCGGCCGGCAGGGCCGTTTCCTTCCCACACACTCCAGTGGCACCCGGGTTTCTGCAGAGCAGGGCAGGCTGTGAGGCACTGGGAGAGGGACTAGCCGTGAGTACGACGGGTGATACGCAGAGCACCAGAGAGCCCGAGCCGGGACCACTGCTCAGCCAGGCAGCGTCTGACCAGCCACAGGCCTGTCCCTGGCTCTTCCACTGGTGTGTGTCACTGCATGGGAGGCAATGGACCGACTGGTGGGAACGGGAGGGCAGCCAGTCCTGTTGGGGTCCATGGGGGCGTAGGCAAGAAGAGAACTAACCCATAGGGATGTCCGGCCTCACTCATTTCAATGGGCCTTGACCCTTAACATCCATAGTGTTTATTGCAAATATCTGGGCCAGGTTCTCCATTGCCCTCACCCCGTGCCACCCGTTACGCTGGTGCCAGGGGTCCTGTTTGAAGCCAGGTGCATCACGCCTCCTCGGCACTGATGCGCTGAAAGTGTGAGGAGGATGGGGGCCATGATGTTTCCTTTGGCAGGTTCCCTTTAACAGGGCTTCCAAGCTGAGGAGAAGCCGGCCGCAGGGGGATCTGCAGTGTGAAATCGCTGGAAGCGAATCGGGGTTTGATGTGGTTTTGCTTGAGAGTAAGCAAAGGGCCCGATTCTCCTCTCACTAACCGTGCGGTGACCTGGACGTGACTCTACTGAAATCTGGGTAGCGAGGCCAGCAGGCAAGGAGGGACACAGGCACCCAGGGAGAGCCTGTAGTCTGTCTGCGGCTGTCGGCAGAGGATTAGAGGGCTGCTCTGGGAGAGAGGCGGCAGTGACGTTGCCGGGGGCAGTGCACCCAGAGCGCCCATGGCAGAGATGGGCTCACAAGGCCTCAGACCCCAGAGCTGCCACCTCGCACTGCGCAGCGCTGCACTTATCGCTTTCTGGGCCTCGCCAATGGGGCCGCTGAGCCCTTGGTCGCTGGCGTTCAGCCTGCTCTGCACCCCTGCCCTGTGCACGCGCTCCCTCATCTCCCTGCAGCTCTGCACCCCCAGGCCAGCTGGAGAGCTCAGCCAGGCACTTACCACGCCCCCAGAGTGCATTGCACTGTCTGTCCCTGGTTTTGCACCTGCCCCCATAGCACCGGCCCTGTGGAGCAGAGAGAGCTGATTTCACACAGCGACACTTGCAGATGGGCACACACGTGTTGACATGCTCCCAGGCCTTGGCATGGGGACTGCAGCCAGACAGCCTGAGGCAGGCATGAAAGAGTTCACTGGAGCAGCAGTGTCCCTGGCCGGCCGGCTGGCTGCCTCAGGGCGTACGTCAGGCTGGGCTGAGTATCGGAGTCACAGGGAGCATGTTTAATGGAGCAGGTGTGCCCGTGTGTGTGCACAAGCAGCAATGTCAGGCAGTCTGTCTGCGGGAGCAGGCATGTCTGCCAGTCCGGGGGAGTGGGCATGGGGCCATGCCAACCAGCCTGTCTGGGGAGTGAGCATGGGGGTGTTGGGCTGTTCCAACCAGCCTGTCTGAGGAGTGGGCATGGGGGTGTGGGGCCGTGCCAACCAGCCTCTCCGGGGAGTGGGCATGGGGGTGTGGGGCTGTGCCAACCAGCCTGTCCAGGGAGTAGACACAAGGGTGTGAGGCCGTGCCAACCAGCCTGTCTGGGAAGTGAGCATGGGGGTGTGGGGCCATG